GCCAGTTACATTTACAATTCAAGAATCTCCTTGTAAATTATTCTTAGATTTTTACTGTTTACACCAAATAACTGCCAATTGTATACTGTTGCATAATTAGCTGAACTAGCTTAACGTTAGCTTGCTAATATGTGTACCATTAAGATTTTCAATGAGATTCTCTCTGATAATGCTACACAAAACAGACAAACATACTCATATTTATTAAATAAAGAAATACAAAATACCTACATTTTTAAATGGTTTTTATGTTTTTTAAATATGTGGTGCTAACATTAGCACACCATAAATCCTATTTTCACTCCGATATGCATATGCTTTAGCGCCTACCCTTTTCATTTCAGCCTGCTCTTTGTTCGTTTTTTCCCCAAACACTGATATCCATGCAGAGAGGCATTTATTGACGGTGTGGGCTTCATGGTTTGAAGGCGTAGAAGCGGAGCAGCATCAGTCAGGCCACCCCAATGCGGAGGGTCACAAGTTAGTAGCTACTGAGAACTTTGGAGGAACTTTCAACACAGACTTATTGTCCAGCACAATAAAAAAACAAGGAAAATATATTGGTACAGTTTTTCAGTCCCTGATTAAAAGCGCAATGCTTCTTAATGTTTAAAAACACCTGTCAACCGTAAGTCTTTTACTCCACTGCCTCTTCGGGGGGTTGCATGATTAAGCCTGTCACTCACTGAAAAGTACGTACGCTCTGCTCTTAATAAGTGCAATGTTTTCTTCATAAAAAGTCCGTTAAGTGTTTCCTATTGATTCATCTGACCATTAGCTCTGATACACCACAGTATCCCTAAAAGCTGTTAGCGCCGTACTGTCGTTCACTTCGTTAAACAAAGCTCCTTCGTCATTCAGTCGTCGTGATTCACAGCATATCCCGCACGAATGTGCTGTGAGCTTGAGCTATCGCTCCTGCTGTTCGAGTGAAGTTTGTTCGTCATAATAACACATTAAAATCTAGAACGGGTTGAAGTCAAAGGTGGAACGACAACACCTCTCCACACATTTATTCTGACAGTTATTTAAAATCCACGTTTGGATGCAGAATACGGCGTTCGACGTAGAGTCAACTCAAGAAATGTTCACCAATAAGTCCTGAGGTTATAGCAATGACAGGAAAAACACTGGAACGCTTCGTAGGGCTGAGCTTGATAAACACATGAATTACAGAGTTTTTAGGGTAGTTCTATGTTCTTGATCTTTTTGTCCTTGTCGGTGGAGCCAGACTATGATTCATGTTCCACGTCTCCACTCCCCACACATCATCCACGCTCATCACAGACTATCTCTCTGTAAATAATCCGTGATAAATATGGTACTACACCCGCCTATAAATCGTTGTCATCCGAGCTCTCCGGATTTCAATTTTTAACTTCCATCGCCAACAAGATAGCGATCGGCGCCTATAGGGTTTTACTGATAAAAACCGTAAACGCACAGAATTTCAAGGTTCTTTTTCGCAGCACTGTTTATCAGTGACTCCATTTTCACTATTCTAACCGGCTGCTCGAGCCTGCAATGTCGAGCATTTCAACATTTAGACGGAACCACAGAATCAGTAATTGACTGTAATCATAATATAGAGTAAGCCCGAGCTGTCGCGCTAATGCATTTAATAGTTTATTTGACTGGAGAGGTGGATCAATCTTACCATATTGACCACAGGATCCTTGAAGGATTAAGGATGGGCCGAGGGGTTGCAGGGCGGCCCAGTGCCTTTCCCTGCGAGAAGGCCAGTGCTTGGATAAAGTGCTGGCTTCTAAGCTGTACAGCGTATTGAACGAAATTAACCTTCCCCTGAAGAAAAGCCCAAGGCAAGTAAATCCTCTTCCCCTCGTTAATCGTTCATTAGCCCCGAAAACGAAAGGACCACAAAACACACGGTGACTTATCTGGGATAAAAAAAAATTAAAAGTGCTCGCCATCATATTCACGCGCGCTCCGTTTGCACCGTGAATATTTCCGTGAGGACAAGGGAGGAATCAAGCGCCCCCTGATATTGACATTGTAAGCATGATGGAGGGCCTCGGCGGTTTGTGCTCCTCAATGGAGCACAAACAATAACTTCTCTTGCAGCCAGTGTCGGGACCAATCAATGGCGCGATAATAATAATGATTAAACTCGCAGGAGTTAGATATGGATTATGTGCACACTCTCGGCCTCCGGCCCGCATCCGTGGAACCCGTACGCAGGCGTCACATTTCCTCAGTGGATGGAGATAAACCGCCACCTCGTCTATCCGCGTTGCTGTTGGCGCCGGCGACCCGCCATGCAATCAACACGGCGCACCCCCGTCAGCTCGCAAAATTAGCAGGGAAATTTTTTGATTGTGCCGTTAAGGAGGGCCCTCATTAGGACAAGGACAATTTGCGTGCTCTATTCCGCAGAATCTGAACGAGGCTCCAATCAATTATACTCATTACCCGGGCCACTGATTGGTACGTGGTCAGACGCACGCCGAGCCGCCGCACCGCGCCGGTTACCGGGGAGGCTAACAACTCTCACACGTGTAGGAAGAATGAAAAAGAAAAAAACTTTGGCACATAGTCCTTTTCTTACATGTGTGAAAACACCCCCAGCACACACACACACACACACACACACACACACACACACACACACACACACACACACACACACGACAAAGAGACAATGATGGTGGTTAATACATAATGATGCCTCTGTACCAAGTTAATGAGTTTCTTAAGCATCTTAAGTAGGGTGTCTTTGTTTTGTTGTTTCTCAGCCAAAAACATGCGTGTGAAAGTGTGTCGATCACGTCAAGGTTAAAATGCACGTTCACACTGATGAACATATGCAGCCTTCGTTGATGCAGGAAAGGACACCCAAGTATGGTTGGAGTTGTTATCGCATCAATAAGAATTTTAGATCTGCGTCTATGCACATCGTATCCCACCGTTATTCGTTATGTAAGACCGAACTCTTTAAACTGCCGAAAGAAATTGGAAAACCCGTTTAATGTGCGCCACTTTATGCATTCATTTGAAATAATTGCTTTTTCGAATGAAAGGTTATATAAGTGAATGTACTGCACTGTGTTGTTATTTCAGCCTTCCTTCCAACGCAATTCTGATGACGGTTTAATGCAGTTAATTTCAGTGGTACTAATAAAAATGGCTTGTCTTTGATGTGATATTTCACGAGTGAATATTGCTTTTATCAGTGGACTCATCGGGGGATCACATAGCAATAATGTACTGTAACTGCTGGCAGCTGCTGGCAAACGTTAAAAAAAAAAAAAAGGTTGCTCCCGCCCACGCGCGATCTGTACTGTTGATCCACCAACCAAGTTTAAATATTAATTATAGCGTAAGCGACCTGTGTTTGCCGGAGTTTTCTGCAGCTTCGGAGGAATCCCCCCAGTGAGCCTTCCCTAACAGCCAGGAGAAGCGCTCGCGAACATAACGCCCGCCGACACTTTGCCAACTGGAGGGAATGCCTTGGCAGTTCTAAGGAGAAGGTTTCCTTCGCCTCGTGGTCGCCGAGGCAGACGAGCCTCCTCCCGCCACCGGCTCAGTTCGGCTCTCATGAGCATCTCCGAGACCACGCTGCCGTTTTGCCGGTCAAAACAGGACTGGACGGCAGCCAAATGCAGCCCCCCCCCCCCCCCCCCCCGCCACAGAATTCTGAGGATAAACGCTGTTGTCGGGACAGTGGTTGTATTTTGCTTTTTGTGTAAAAAAAGAAGAAATAAAATGTATTGTGGCCCTCAGTAATCGCTGCTGGATTAACCTGCCATCAATGACAAATTTGCAGGCTCATTTTTAAGCCACCTCCGTCGATGTTTGGTGCATTAAACCACAAATGCCGAGATTGCTTCTGGTATTTTGCGCTCATCTACAGAGTTGTTTCTGTTGACAGAGCTATTAGTCTGAGAGATACCGCGAAATTCATCATTGTCACCCTGCGGTTGTTTGACAAATTCATCATTTCATTACTTTTCCACAGAGGGGAGGCGATGGGGGGGGATGCTGGAGACGTCGTCTTTGTAATAACATCCAACTCCAGGTGGAGCGGCGCGGTGCTGCCGGGCTGTTCGGGTGTGGCGTTGGGGAAAAGAAGATCAGCGGCCTAAACAAGGGCAGGAATTAATATGTAAATTCACGGGCGCTTGGTTAGAGGACCTTAAAAGGTTTTCATTATTTCTCGATCAGAAAGCCATTTATCTCAAGGCTCTCAATAAGTCTGGTGCCCTAATCTGTCGGACAGATAATTAATATCTGCTTATTGAGTACATAGAAGTCATTATCTTGGTTTCATTCAGACGTTTTATCCGCCGGTGCTCCATAAAGACACTTCAGGGTGCGGGCCACTTTACTTCAGCAGGTATTGATTACAGTCTCAATGCTGTTGCTTTTTTGGGGGGGTCGGATATGCTCAGCGTCAAGGTCGAGGTGCCAGATAACACAAACGCTGTTAAAGCAACACAATAATATCTCTACAGTCTCCACAATACTCCAGACAGTCTGAAGCTATTCCTTCTCCTCTTGTAAAGATGAATCACAATCCCTTTTCTTCTGTTGCAATGCCCCCACATCAATACGAATCCCACTCTCCAACGTAGATCTCAACTCACAGCACACAAGCAGGGCAGGAAACCATGGCAACCAGCATACATACATTGATTGCTACATTTACTGACCGCATAGGGGCAGTTAATAGTCTGCCGCATTAACAGGGACACAAAAGAGAGGCTGCATTTTGAAAGTGGCTTTTAAAATAGTGTTGCAATTACTGTTTTTCACATATTTCCTATTTACATAATAAATGCAGATTTAGCCAACTGGTATTTTCGAACTCGCACTCTAAATGTCACACACTGATGTGCATGAACGGTCACTTCAAATCCTTTTGGACGACTTTGAAGCTTATTTTGATGGAAACTCTGCATAACAAATGTAATTGGTTGCTCTCAGTATACATGAATATAATGCAAAGTGATTAATCTGGTTGCTGTTTTGACATTCTGCAGGGCGGTTTTGAAAAGGGACGGAGATGTGATCTCGGATCCACGATTCCAACCGGAAAGCAGCTCAAATTCACAGGTTAGTGCCGTCAAATTACCGGGAAAATTCAGTGCGGGGCATCTGGGAAAGGCGACGGCTCTGAATCTACGAGGAGCTGTGTGTTCTCAGCAGTGTTCGGGGTCACATGCGGGGCTGAGCTCAATCTTCTGTTAGATTTCAATCAAAAGTTAATTGTTTGTTGCGTCATCGCCTGTTGATTTAACCCCCAACACATTATTCTTGCTCTTGTAAAGCAAGAGCTCTACTTGGAATCTTTTGGGCACTTATCAAAAGCAAATGTTTCCATTACGTATTTTGGTAAATTATCGGGGAATGAACAAGTTCACTTATTTATATTCATTGAAATGCTTAATATCGAGCTATCGGCGCATTACTAATACGCTGTCACACACGCAAACGCCTGAAATGTGCAATATTAATAGGCTGGCATTTACCCAGGCAATATTTGATGAGCTGAAAAGATTATTTCTAAGACAAATGCAGCTGTTTTCTTTTATTGTATTGAATAATAAAAACCTTATCAAGCTGCCAAACATCACCCAGATTTGCCGATCACTGGGACAAGGGAAACAATGGACGCCAACTCTACTTGCATGCTTGTAAGCAGGCCTTTGACGAAAAAATCTTAACAATATACAACAGTTATAGAAGTAATTGTCATTTTATATTATAGCAATGGTAATTTATTTCCATAGCACGCTTTATTGGAATGAAAACAAAAAGGAACGTCCGTGTACGAATTGTAATGAGAATGAGAATAGAAGGCCTAAACTCATTAAAAGATAATATAATTGTAATTGTAACAAAATGGCTCAGTCTGGCAGGTTTGTGCACGTACTTGTCCATTGTAATACAGAAGTTTATTTCCACAATGAAAACAGGAGACATCGAGCACACTTCATATGAAGGTTAACTTGTTGTTAAATTTACAAAACGGTTAAATTATTAAAAACAAAATAATTAAGCAGAGGTTTAAAAATATTATCAACTTACGAAAGGTAAAAGTACACAAAGTACAATATATATTATTACATTACAGGTCATTTAGCAGACGCTTTTATCCAAAGCGACTTACATTACACTTTAAACCCATGGCTTTTTCACATTTTTGCCCGGGGAGCAATTAGGGGTTAGGTGTCTTGCTCAGGGTCACTTCGACATGTAACATGGGGCAGAGTGGAATCGAACCAACAACCTTGTGCTTCCCAGCACACCTTCTCTAACCCCTGCGCCACGACCTATATAATTGCATTGCAATTATTGGACAAGTAATGTGTCCATCACAATTTTGACAACCACCACTACTACTTAACTACTAGGCTATATACATCAGTTCACTTGCGCTGCATACTACACATCTGAATCTGCAATGTAACTAGTAACTAATACTGTCAAATGTAGTGCTGATACAAGGGAAATGGTTCCCAGTAAAAACCAGTTCAGTCATAGAGATTCCCAGCAGCACCCATGTTATCCTCCGTGTTGTCATCCAGCCAGACAGGCTGCTGAGGCTCCACGCCTTTCGCCCTGGCTAGGTTGTCCCATGTCCTCTGCCTCCGGGGGCGGTGCGTGCCGATCGGGGTGCCGACCCCCCCCCCCCACCCCCTTCCAGGCGCAGGCAAGGGTGGAAGGAACAAACAAACAAACAAAAAGGAAAACCGTGCGACTTCTTATCTAACGGGCTGAGGCATTACAGCGCGATTGTGCAACTGATGGTGTTGTTCACACTGTTGTGCAAAGCCAAGCAAACATACAGTTGGTGGTTGGCCGGGTTGCGTGGGTTGATTCACACCTCGGGCTTAAATTTAAACCCTGTACAGTAGTAGCCACCGTAGCCGCCCTCCTTTATCCTGCAACTGATTGCATTAGTTCCGGAGACTGTTTTCTGCGTGATGTTAGAAGCAAAAAAGGGTTGCTGCTAGGCTAACTGTAAGCTTAGCATTTCATGCGACTGAATCACTGCTATTTAAAAAGCCCTGCTAATGTATCTCTATGGGCCTAACCATGTAGATTCAAAAGGGTTCAGAGGGGTTTGGACACGAAAGGGAATATTTGGGATGGATCGTAGGTCCCCCAAACCTCTCCATTAATTGGTTCTTGCTTATTTGGCAAATATACAAAACTTTTGGCCAGTAATCAAATGTTTCATTTACTTTAAATGTTGACAATATACTTTACTCATTTATTACTCATCTTTTTTCCCCGTGCATGCATATTGAGAGAAGATAACAAAGTGTCTGCCGCATCAAAGGCTGCTACCCTCTATAATGCCGAGACATGGAAGTGGTGTCATCTCCTCATCATCCTCTTTGATAGAAAGCTAGTAGGTGTATGTTATATATAAGAAATATATATATAAGAAATATATATATATATATATATAGTGTTTAATAAAAGGAAACAACACTGATAAAGCTGGAGTCTGTTTAAAATGAACAAAAACTCTGTCCTGGAGCTTTTTCGCTGTCACTTAACCATCTCCGTCCTGTCCACAGGGGTCAAAGCCTGAGTGGCAATATAAGCTGAGCGTGAGATTGCTAAAAAAAAAGCCCAGGGCAGATGCCTCGGCGTCGAGGCGCTTCTTGATATTTGGAATCTCTGGTCTCCTGTTTACCGGGCACCACAGGGAAGAAGGGCGCCGGGGTGAGGAGGGGGGTGAGGGAGCTGGTGGGAAACACTTGCAGGGCGACTGACGGGGAGGCTTTATCCCGACATCTCTGTCGCTCAGTCGCGTTAGACCCTCCCTCTCCGTCCGGGGAGCTGTCTCGCCGCGGTTTGCCGCTCGGGCTGTCTCTGGTTACGTAACCTGCCGCCCCTATCACACGTACCCATCACAAAGCCAGGCCTCTCTCACACATACACACACACACACACACATAAAACATCACGCCTGCAATGCGGCCCGACTGCTGCGAATGCTGGCGGTGCAGGGCGCCGTATGGAATATGGGGTTGAATGAGGCCTTTTTTCGCAGTGATAATACGGTGCTGGAGTCCGAAGCAATTTCCTCCTCTCTCCCCGGCACCTCCGCCTCTGTGTTGGACATAACATCCTGAGACGGCGGAGATTGGTGGCCAGGATACTGAATTTTTCATGAGGCAGGAAAGGTTAGATAAGATCCTCCCACGTATTCGAGACGGTGCACTTACAGATCCGTCTGCCAAATAGTAAAAATACACTTTGAATGGCTCAGATTCTGGGTCTGACCTCTTTACGGAAGAACATTCACGAATGAAATGTTTCTGGAAGTTTCATAAGAGGTGTTGAAGTGGCGCATGTGGGGCAATCCTGCTGTGATCGCTTGCATTGTACTGTTTAGGCACACTTATGACTGAATTTAGGAGAAATTAACTATTTGTCCTCATTCCAGTTGCAGGTATCCGTTACATTGTAAATACCGTTCAGCTCTCCATCAAAGTAAAAGTGGTTAGCAAAGTGAAGGCAAACAAACGGATAAAAAAACACCCTTTGATAAGTTCCCATTCAGTGTTTTTTACCCGCAAATTGCCTTTGGCTACTTTACAATTCAAAGAAAAATACAAGTAATGACTGATTGTTGTGTTCCTTTTAATCATTTCTCATTTGCACACAACGAGGTAAGAAAAACGACCAGAAACTGAAAAGGAAACAACTGATAAAAATGCAATTGTATGAGCGAGACCATTGTTTAATCAAAGGGTGTTTGATCAAAGGATTTATTTTCACTGTAAAGATTTGTTTCTCAGGCTCTGATTCAATCAGATTTAATTTGAATTAGGCTGTATACTTTTTGATTTTATGTAATTTAACTGCCAGGGTTTTAGGATGTGGATCCAGGATTATTGTGTCTGAGAGTTCCTGCTTTTCATCCTGCGGACAATGATAATATAGAAATGTGTGTATCTCACAGAATCATCCCCGTGGTGATACTTCGGATAGTTTGTTCAAGGAGAAGATTGCAGGATGAGAAACAACCAGCAAACAAAAAAAAGGAATCTGACACAGAAATATGAGTTGGGGCGGGTGGGAGAGGGGGGGTCTTGATGCTAGGTCTGGTAAACGCTCCCCTGGGCTTTCTCCCGGCAGAGACATCTACAAATATTTCCATAATCACCAAATAGCCCAGTGACTGCCGGCCAAAGCCCAGATGCTGCAGACAACATGTTATAGCTCTTAGTCGTAAAGGTCAGTAACTGCCTCCTCAAACGTGGATAAAAAGCAACGCTGCCATTCCCAATTGCGTTCTCAACCACAGGTTGCAGTCTTGACAGGGATGAGCTTCTTTTTTTTTTTTTTGTTTCCCCAAGACCGCATAAGGAGCCCAGAGGAGTGTTTATCACTCAGACTTTCTAGCTGTTTTTTTTTTACCTTGGCAGTAATTTCATGCAATTGGGCGACATTTGTTCGTGTGCATGCGTCCAACATAATTATCTTGTGTATCAACACCTCCGGTGGTATTCTGCCCCCACCCCCACGTGCATGCAGTATCCCTCCTAATCGACTCAATCTCAGCTCAGCCTCTCACCAGAGGCCCCCGGAGTCGAGGGCGTGTTTTGACACGCAGGTCAGCGCGAAATCAAGCTTGCATGACACCGGCAATAATCCCAAAATGGCTTTCCATTTGTATTTAACTCTGCTGGTTGAGCTGACCATTAACCGACTATGACTCACCGAACACAGACGTGCGCCAACTCTTTTGCAAATGGTGTTTAAATTACTTTTATTAGAGTGAGCCTTTCATGTTGCGGGATAGAAATGACCTTTTGAGTGCTTTTCAGAGTTGAAGAGTTGTCAAAGCATAATGTGGGAGGCTGAGTTGATGGGTGTGTAATTCATGGGGATGCTGTGAATTTGTTTCACATCGGCGGCGGCAGGGAAAGTTTTTCGATTCAGAACTTCATGAAAGCTGCTATTCACACAAACAGTGTTTTTTTTTTTTTCTGTTTCTTTCTCGACGGCCGTCGCTGAGCAAAAACTGAACGATTCAGCGGGAAACCAAACGAAAATTGGCACGACAATTCCTGCCCTCGCGACCAAAG